AAATTGGTTCCTGTTTTTAAAATATGTTTTGTCAGTCAAGTGGTATTGTCTAGTACAACAGGCTGGAATAATTTTCACCCCTTTTCCAACAACAAGTTGCTATTCGGCATGAGAACTGAGGTGGTCTATTTTTTTCCCATGAAGATCACTATTGAGAAGTTTCAGAGTAGCAGCCGTGTTAGTCTGTATCCGCAAAAAGTACTCCTGTTCTTTTTACTATTGAGAAGATTTGCCTTGGAGCATATACTACTCAAGTTATAACATTCCCAATACAAAAGATCATTCTGCTCCATGGGTGAATGACTGTCTCTCTGGTTTTTAGTTGAACTTAGGATCTCTTCTTCAAATTCGATTAGCCTTTCAGATCTTCAAGAAGGCAGCGTTGCCGAAGCATTAGAATAGTGCTCTTTCTCCCTCCTCCTCTAATCTTTAATAATCCTGACCTTGTTTCTTGGAAACTCCCTTCCCAAGGCTGTTCTAATAATCTCCCTCCAGCTTCCAAAGCTTGGTTTAAGATTCTCCTTCTCCATCAGACACACCTTATTATAATACTGTGTTAATTAGGGAAATGACTACCCTTTCTCTTCTGAACAGCCAGAGGTTGGAAATGGTGGCCTCTAAGAAAATTGTTTGCTTTATCCTGGGTAACTCCTCTTTTGTTCTTTTGAAGCTCAGACCTGACCATTACATTATCTTCCAATGCAATCTACTGCAGAAAGCTGTTTCCTGGACCCAAAAAAGAGTTCCGATTTCACAGTTCTCAATATTCACTGTGGCCTTGACTTATTTTGAACCAAATTTTCACTATTCATGTAGTTTGACACCATTAAAACTATGTTCGAATTTGGAACACTGTTCCTTGAACTGGAATCTAATTCTTAGTCAAATATATTGCCTTCAATTACCTATAAATTTGGAAAAAATGTTAATTTACATATTAGATATTGGTTTAAATTAAAGAATAAAAGAAAACAATATACTGATTTGACTAGAAAATTACATATGTACTTATACTTAAAGGCTGAGACCCTGGATTTATTTGTAAGTCTCCAAAATCCCTCTCTTTGCTGAAGTAGTCCCATAAGTAATATCTTCTTTTAGAATTCTGAAATATTGAATGGCTGGCACTGAGAGATGCTCAATAATTGTGCACCTCGTTGCCTGCAGTTACAATTACTATATTTTCCTGGCTTTTGTTAAGCGAATAGACTCAAGCTATAAGGGTTTATGAGAATCCATTATTCTGCATTTGTATGTTAGAGCAATATACGCTACCAATCACTGAGAATAATGAAACACCATTTGTCAAGACAGCAGACCAGTCTGGCCTTCTGTTTCTCACTACTATTAAATCCTGGATTAAACACTATTAGCTCCAAAGATCAACAGGTCTCTAATCCTCAGGGGGAGGGAACTGCTGTTGTTACTAAGGTAATTATAGAAAGTCTGGATCTTTTCCTCTGGTTTTCTCTTGTGAACTGTTAGGATGAGGAGCTTCCTCACGTTTATTGGTACTTTTCCAGGTTGAAAAAAGATAATCCTTCAAGCACTGGTTACCAGGTGCTGAAAAGGGAATGTCTCATGTTTTAATGATTACTTGCTATCATTTTATTCCACAGTCACTTTTCCTATTTGAACTATCTCCTGTCCAGCCCCAAACCATTTAACCTAAAACAAACAAAACAGAAACAAACAAACAAACAACAACCAGGTTCCCTACTAATGTGTGAATCAATTATCAATATGAATTCATAAAACAGTGAACAGTATCTAATACAGGGATGGACAAATTATGGCCCACAGGCTGGATCTGGCCCTCAGGGCTTTGGATCCGGCCTGCGGGATTGCCTCCCATGGCGACGCGGGCCCCGCACCGCTCTCAGAAGCTGCCAGCACCACGTCCCTGTGGGCTCTGTGCGTTGCCCTTGCCTCCAGGCATCGCCCCCCACAGCTCCCATTGGCCGGGAATGGGGAACCGCAGCCAATGGGAGCTTCGGGGGAGGTACCTTGAGGCGCAGCAAGGGCAGCGCATGCGGAGCCCTCCACACTCCCTCCCCCAGGGGCCGCAGCCAGGGTGAATTGGGGGTCCTGACCCAAAAGGGAGTTGCAGGTGGGGTTGCAAGGTTATTTTAGGAGGGTCATGTTATTGCCACCCTTACTTCTGCACTGCCTTCAGAGCTGGAAGACCAGAGAGCGGTGGCTGTTGGCCAGGCACCAGCTCTGAAGGTAGCACCCCACCAGTAGCAGCACAGAAGTGAGGGTGGCAATACCATACCATGCCATTCTTACTTCTGCACTGCTGCCTTACGAGCTGGGTGGCCAGAGAGTGGTGGCAGCTGACTGAAGGCCCAGCTCTGCAGGCAGCAGTGCAGAAGTAAGGGTGGCAATACCATACCATGCCATTCTTACTTCTGCACTGCTGCTGGCAGTGGCTCTGCCTTCAGAGAGAGGCTCCCAGCCAACTGCCACCGCTCTCTAGCTGCCCAGCTCTGAAGGCAGTGCTGCCGCCAGCAGCAGGGCAGAAGTAAAGGTAGCAGTACTGAAACCCCCCCTACAATAACCTTGTGACCCTCCACAGCTTCTTTTTGGGTTAGGAGCCCTACAGTTACATCACCCTGAAATTTCAGATTTAAATAGCTGAGATCAAGAAATTTATGATTTTTAAAATCCTATGACCATGAAATTGACCAAAATGGACCATGAATTTGGTAGGGCCCTATATATAGGTGTAAATGATTTCATAGATTCATAGATTCCAAAGCCAGAAAGGACCATCATCATATTTTTGCTTAGCACTTAGGTAGTGGACAGACCTGATTTCCTGGAAGCACATAGAATGCAATTTGAATGAAAACTACTCCCTTTTTAAGATTATGTGATAAGGATTTAAGGTCTGAGCAGCAGGAGCTCCTGCTTCAGTAATATCATTAACCCATGACATAAGAAATGTTACTGATTAAAGGCCCAATCCTACAGTCCCTACTTAGGTAAACCTCGCGGTGATGTCAATGGGAGTTTTGCATGAGTAAGGAGTGTGGGTTTGGACCCTTTAACTCTTTTACTGGTACAGTGGAGATGTTGATCATTTTAAGGATTGCACAATTATTTTTAAAGGCCAAATCTTGGTCCCATTGAAATCTATGGGAGTTTTGCAATTGACTTCACTGGCACCAGGATTTGGCCCTGAAGTTTCTAGTTCTTCTGTATTGGCATAGACTTCTATTTCCCTAATAAATGCATGTATGAGTAACAATACAATAATTTCATTAATTATATTAAATTACTTTTAAAAATTGGTTGGTTGAATAATAATTGGACATCAGACCTTGGCTCTATTACATTCCCAGAACATACACGCAGAACCACTATCGGGGCAAAAAGAACATCGTGATCTTATTTAAAAACATTCAGATTATTTTTAGCTTGGCACAGTTTTTTGGACACAGAACAGTAGAACTAGATGGGCTGCCCCGCTGCAAGCAGCCTTACACATGATAATATGAAGTGAACAGTGCAAGGTCTAAGGAAACGCACATCTTTCTTGAGCCTCTTGATCTTTTCTTACATAATCAGCCTTATGAATTTAGAAGGATTATCCACCAGTCTCTCCATTTGTCAGTAAGACGCAGTAAGTCAGATACTCTATGTCACAAAAACAGCAGCATCTTAGCAGTCAGTCAGATATTGGGCCCAATCCTGCATTACTTTTGCTCCCAAAATTCCAATTGACTTCAGGTCTGAGCCTTTTGTTTTTAAAAATTAGGAAAAGTTCTTTTCACATGTACTTGTCTCTTTTCTTGAGTTTTAATAATAGCCCCAAACCAGACTAATATGAGCTTGTAATTAAAATAGCCTTGATTTTGGCTGACTTTTAGCAATATGATGAAATGTAGAATTTCTTGTTTATCTCCATGAAGCCATGGATAGTTTTGCAATCCATAAAGGCATCTTGCTTTGTTTGTACACCCAAAATTCTCACTGAATTCAGGATCAGGCCTTCTTTCTCTAAAATGGCACCGAATTTTGATATAAACCTATGAATTAAATGTCAAGAAGCCAGATCCTCAGCTGATCTAACTGGCATAGCTCCATATGAGTATTCTACTTTACACCAGCTGATGTCTGGTGCTGAGAGGTTTGCAGACTAGATGCCACCATTTGATAACTTAAATTCAGCAAGTCTGCAGATATCAATATTGTGAGAGAGAACGTGTCTGCTTCCCCATTTATTTCAGGACAGACATTCGGAAGCTGCCTTGTTCATACATTTGGAATTGGAGTAATGCTCGTTCTATGATACTTATGATGTAACCTTTGTCTAAGTTACAAGTGAAAAGGATGAGTCTGTGAAAATAGATTAGGTGCTCTGAAAGGAGACGAGCAGATCTGACTAGTTATGTCTCAGCTAGAGACGGATCTGAACCGAAAGCCTGGATTTGAACACCCTCAAGCTTTCAGGGTGTTTTACATTGAAAACTAGACCTCAATCTGAGTACTCTCGGCTCATTCACCACCTTAAACATCACTGCCAGCTCTGACTACCAGACATGCAGTGCCCTAGGGCAGCAAAATGCTAATGACTGATCTATTCAGTAACGGTCTGTATGGGTGACTATGGAATAATAAGGGAGAATATTTACCACTTTGCTTAGGACAGCAGAGCGGAGCCTACCTTGGTCATTAAGGACTCAGATTTACATTAGTCCCAAACTAATCTGATGTCTTCCTCCCTGTTGCACAGTAAATTACTTACATCAGAAATGTTGAATCAAGAAATATGAAGTAACAAACCACACTAGATAAAATGACCCCACCTGATTTTAAACTTCATATCCCATTGGTTTTCTCATGTTTCTCATTCTGGGTTTCTGTCCCTTGTTTGGGGTTTGGCACTTTGAGGAATGAGTCTATGCAAAAACCCCATTCTGTACCATAGGCCCTCTACAAGAAGTTCAGCAAAGGAATAGAGACCCAGGCCCCAGAACAAGACACTCACTTACCTTTTTCACGTCAGGTACATTAAAAAACTTCTTGGTATGAGCAACCCATCCCACTATCCCAATGTCCAGAGGAAAAACAATCTCACTGTCTGGGGCTACCAGGTTCTCCTCAAACTTGGAGGTGGTGGTGATATTGAGAAGCCTGGTGGCAACCTCAGGGATGCCATTGCGGGCACGGCAGACGAACATGCTACACCGGTCAGCTGCCACCAGCTGTGCCAGCCTCTGCAGGGCCTTGTGCACTATCTTCTCCATGCTGCTTTCTTCTTCCTGGATTTCTGTCAGCAACTCAAAGAGCACATGACACTCCTCCAGCCGGGACATCTCCTTGAAGGAAACTCCATCCTTCACTTCCCCAGGGCTGACTTTGAAGATGGTTCCCAGCGCTTCTGCCCTCAGCTTTCGGTCGAAATATTCCTTGGCAAACTGGGGGTTGTTCTCTAAGTATTTCTCAACATCGTCTTTATTTATCCCACCCATTTTGTGTGACTCTTTCTTATGACTTTTTAGAACTGCATCACCCTAGAAGCAGCGGCAAGAAGTCCTAATTTGGTGCTAGTAGGAAAAAGGTCCGTTGCACATACTGTAGCTGTCACGGGCATAGTACAGTAGGCTTGCTCTGTGGCTTCCAAACCTTCTGGAACCCTTGAGATATGACAGAAGGCACTGGCTTAGTGTCTTCTTAGTGTGGGATCTTGGAGGCTGCTAATTAAAGAGATGTCAGGACACTAAACCCTTGAGCACTCTTAGCTCATAAATCCCAAGGGAATCATTTTAGCATTTTAAACTAACCAATCCAGTCTTAGGCTCTGTGCGGCAGTGTGATAATGCGTAAATATGTTCATGTATATACACACATACTCGCTCTTGCATATGCTGTATGACGTATGTACAAAAGGTTTCCATTGACAGTTAACGTGGGGAATGCCCCTTAAACTCTCTCCCCATATGTTTGCAAATTATTACTTCATGTACATGAATGTGCTCAGACATGTACATGCACAGACACACATATGTTTGTGGGGTGAAGAGGGAATAGAAAACAGAGTTGCATAGTAAAGTTGCTTAAAATGTCAAGATTTTCTTCCCTTTCAGGTACTTGGGAGGTGACCGATGATGGTTTATCAGTAGTGGTAGTTAAGAACCATAAAGCTATAAATGGGCCTTACACAGTAAGAGCCTGTTCAAGTCAATGGGTTTTTATCTGTGTAAGGATGGAATTAAAGCCTTAGGATTCGGTACAGTAAATGCAGGAAACCAAATAGGACGGTCATGCTACTTTTTTCTTTGGTACATAGACATGATCTAAACAAAAAGGGTAAAATAAAGAAAGTGACCAAATGCAAATTACAATGTTAAACCTTATTGGCAAAATCCTTAGTCTGGTCAGAATTCCATATGAACTAAATACATATGTTTGTGTTTCTATTGTTGTCCAGTCATCAGCCTCTAACCATACAGGCAATAAAAACATTAATTAAAACCACAAAGTGCACAATGACAAAACATCATATAAAAGAGTTGCATTAAATGCACTCTCTAACCAACTTAAACTGTCTCAGGAAAAGTCTGGTTGAATGGACAAGACTCACAACATGTCCAGAAGGTCAACACACTTGGTCCCTCTCTCACACTAGGGTGGGCAGCGAGTGAGTTCTGGGTTCACCAGAACACTCTGCAACCTGCTTGCTAACATTTAAATCTAGTAAATGTTGACTTGACTATCTCAGCTGATGTCAATTGTCCAGGTAAAATGTGTGGGGAAACATATTATCTCAGAAACCAAGGATCCAAGCCAGTAGAGGTCCAAAACCAACATCTTGAACTGCAGCTCAAAATAAAATGAAAGCCAGTGATATCTATGGAGCCTGGGTAAAACACGCTGACAAGCTGAACCACTATTAAATAGCTGAACTTTTGAACTATTCCTCATGTGTAACCCCATGTTGAATATATTGAAGCAATCAAATCAAGAAGTGACAAAAGCAGCAATGATGGAAAGTGTGTGTAATGGCCCATATTGGATAGGAAAGAGTCTAATATCCTGGTCAGGTGAAGAGGAAAACAAGAAGTCCTGGTTACAGCTGCTATCTGGAAATCCCAGAGCAGCTCAAGGTCCAGTAAAACTCTTAGTGTGCAAACATGAGTAACAAAAGGCAGGTGAACTCCCTCAACTAATATGGCTTCTGCCATTATATCTGCAGAGAGACTGGGGGAAATCTGGTGGCAGATGGTAAAGATCAGAAATACATTTTTAGCTGCTAGGTTATGATTTATATTAATTATTGGGTGAAGGAAGATTCTTGAGGAGGTCTTTTGTACAATTGTAGAGCATTAAACAGAGATGGTCCTTTCTAAGTACTGTGAGTATACCTTGAAAATAAATCAATGAAATAATAGTTGTTTTCCCTAACACACCATTGTTGTTGGTTTTATCAGGACTGAACCTGAGGACTAGCTCTCAACCATGCCTAAATCTCAGCCAGGAACGAAAGTGTTGTATACACTAGGAATTTTTCCATAAAATTTGCTATCGTTGCTACCAACGGTTCAACTCCACAGAACCATCGTGTGAACGCTAATGCAGACAACGCTTTCTCAGTGTTTTAAGTTGTGTACAGTCAATATCTGCTCTGAGTAAGGTTAGATTAAATTGTATTTAAAATTGCTGGGGAGCCCCTGAGCCCAGTAGAACTCTCACTATTGCCTGTACCAGTGGAGTTGGAATGATGGTAGCAATTGTGGAAATTTTTAGCGGGAAAAATCTCAGTGTAGATGTAGGCTGGGAAAACGTAATGGCTATAAACTGTTTTGGTCCATTGAACAGTGTAGAGTTGAATTCAATCAACATACTAATGGGACTGTGACCCAAATGAAACTCCTCTTGTAACCACAACATACATAGTGAGGAAGGGATGACAAAATAGAGCCCTGAAGAACTCCACAAGAGCGGGCCCATGGGACTGATGAGCAATTGACCAATCCTACCCTTTGGATCTTCTCAATGTGAAAAGAACAGAGACACCAAAGTAAACACTGTTTATCCCTGCCAGGACCCACAGATGTATCAACACCAACTTGTGTCAACTGTTCTAAAGACAACTGACAGATGTAAAAGAATCAGCACAGACATCTGGGGACAGATCCTCTGGTGCAGCCAAACTGCCCAGAGAACAAGTCAAGGGTTGGTGTGCAAACGTGACTTAAAGCTCATCTTTTCACTTGCTTCCCTGTTCTGGTACATGCTGTTCCTCCTGCCCTGTGTTAAAGCAACCTGACAACTGAAATATGCCAAACTGAAATAGCCACAAAGGCTCATAAGTGCATCTGAGGATCAGCGTAGCACAGAGGCATCCTGGCAATCCTGCCTCCTTTCCTCTAGCCATGCTCCTTTTTCTTTATTACATCAGCAGCATGGTGAATGGAAGAAATGCCCTTGTGTTGGATTTGTGACACTGGAGCATCTCCTTTACACCCTGAGCTGGTTACGTTGACTTTATGCAAGATTATCCTGGCAGCATGGTGCAAAGTCCCTACATCACAATAGCTCTGGCCCCTGATCTTTGTCCACCAACAAAAAGAGATCAATGATCAACACCATTAACATAGTTACTGTCCCATACCCAGTAGGCACAGGAGCAGGGTCAGCAGAAGAAGTAGTCATCTTTCTATGTTCTTACACAATTGTTTCATAATATGATCAGAATGCGTGAAAGCAACATGACAGACATTTGATGTTTGTTTCTATATATAGAGGCATTTATTCATAGAGTATTTTTTATATTTCCACATACATTATACTACTTTTTAAAAGAGAGAATTATAAAGAACTGTACTAATAAACCAAAGCAGGGGGATGATGGAAAACAAGCATTGTGTTGTATTTTCTAATCTTTTTCTATCATATTTTTCTACCAACACTGGGACTTTCTATATAGTGATTCTTAGGGTATTATAAACTCTCCAATCTGTTTTAGTTCAAACCTTCAAGAAAATTACACAGAAACATTCCCCTTTATTAACTGTGAGAAACCAGCTTTGCCAACATTACTTGTGTACAATGGCATAATCTCATTAATTCTGAGAAAATGCAGCCACCTATGTCCAGAAGCAAGACTGAAGGGAGACAAGGCTGCCTAAAAGCCAGTGCTACAGTATGTGTTGGTATAGTAAAATGGCTATGTAGACCCCTTTGTGTTGGCATAATTAACAGACTCATTCGAGCATGATAAATGGGGCTCCAAAATTCCATACAGCATAAGAATCAAAGCTATGCAATAGCAGTATGTTTTGTTCATTATAATCACACACAGCTTTTTTTTTTTTCTTTTTCTGTTTGCTAGGGGCAGGAATGACTACCCTTTTCCCTCCCAAAAACAAACAAACAAACAACACAGGTCATTAACAATTGGTGACATGAATAAGAAACTTGATAGACACCCATTTTTATATCATATATAACTTTAATACTGTATATAGCCACTCGGTACTGTATTGTTAAAAACCAATGCAGAGGGATGTGAAGCAACAAATTAACATTGGCTGGTAAACTTGAAAAGAATGCCTGTTCATAGCATAGTCCTGTTCAAAAACAAACTAGGCAAATACTTAGCATTAAAGAACACCATTTCACAGATTATCAGCTGTGCAGCTGTCACTGTCAAGTCAGGTAGCTGTAAACAAAAAGGGCGCCCAACCCTCCTTTTGACCCATGACATTACTGTTTCTATATGCTACAGCATGTTTCCAATATCAGTCCCTATCAAAGCTCTTTATTTTAATATTTTTTCAGTGTAAATCTCCTGCCTCATCCATTTGTGTTTAAGAAAGTTCATCATCCTGGTGACTCTCCCTGTTTTGTTTTTTTGGGGGGGTGGGGGGAGGATGGGTGGGTAGGTGAGGTGGGTTTGAGGCTGCTAAAGCCTAGAAGATCAAACATTTTAGCAGTAGTAGTTGAGTATATTGCCTGCATCATTGACAGTCCCATGTTGCTGCTATTCCTATATAGAATATATTTTTACACACTATATAGGAGATTCGATCACAGTATTATCCCCCAAAGTGGGGTTTGAGTTTAGATTTTTGGTCTGCTTTTGCTAACACTGATTTATTTGTGATCTTATTATTGTTTGCTTTCTGGGGCTGTCAGCTCCTTGAATATTGTGCTTTGGTTTTTATTATAGGCTAATTGATAGGACTTGTGTGCTTTTTAATTGCCTAAGAAAAACAGTTCAAATCTTTTAGCTTCCTTTTAGACTAATTTTATATGGTGTATGCAGTGCCTTTGCTAGTTTTTAGTAGTTGATAGTTTTCCTTAGTTGTGACAGTTTACAATTAACTCTAGTAACTTGTGTCCCCATTTTTTAAGCTGATAACAGCTAAACTGGCTTAGTGTAATTCTGCTAAATTCTATGGCATATATCTACTTATCTACAAATAATGAATCATGTTTGTTGCATGAGATCACAGATTCAGACCAT